TATATATATATATAAATGATGTGTAATTATGAGATCCATTGAAAGAAGAAAAAAAAAATCAAGTGCTAGGATAAATGTAAATATATAACCGTAATTAAGGTATCGTTAACTACTACCCAATGCAAGCTTTTTGAACATGCAAATTAAATGGGATAAAAGTAACAAAAATTATATAGAAAAAATATATATTAAAAAAAAATGTAGCAACTTCTACCAAAAATTCAAGATTTAGAATTTAGAAAAGAAACTATAGGTTAAGAATCCCCCTTTTTTTATCATCCTATGCATCTAAAATCACATTCAACACAAGTTATAACTTGCAATTATATTTCAAAACCATGAAATTATTTAAGATCAATTTCTTAATTCAAAACTCCTTTACCTAAATTACTGTTTTTAATCCATTAAAAATATACAGTATTTGGTGTTGTATATAAGAAATAAGTTTCATCGAGCCATGATTGTAAATATGCAACTTTAATTCTAAGTAAGTTCAGATCGATTACATAAGAATCTAATCCAGGTTTGTTAGTCCTAAAAGAGCTTTAGTTACATATATTAATATAACATAAATAAAAGAATAATATATAGATGAAGTTAAAGATATAATGTACTTACGCTACTATGCTCAGGTGTGAATAAACTTATTTAAAAACATTTTAGAAGAAAAAAACAGACAAAAAAAAGTTTTTCAATAAGATAAATTGAATTTATGTATAAGTTAATTTATAAAAGTTCTCTCACTAGTACACAATATACATTTTACGTCGGTTATTTTAGGGGTTTTTACGTCAGAAAAGCCTCCGACGTAGAAGCGGGAGGCGTAAATTTACGCCGGGACGCGAAAACCGACGTAAATTTACGTCGGACATTCCAAGGTACGACGTAAAAAGTCATACAAAATTAAAAAAAAAAAAAAAAAAAAAAAACAAGTGCAGCAGAACGGGCCGTTCTGCTTGATAGACCCAGGAGTGCGTTTTGCAAACCCGGACTTGGTCACTTCCTTCTCCTTCTACAGCTTCAAAAACTCGAAATGCAACACAAACATTATTACGAAAAAAACATCCCAGAAAACACAAACTTGATGGAAGATGCTACCTCATAGAACCTCCCAGAAAAGCCCATGACCACGCGAAGAAGAAACAGAAGGTGTAGATGAACGCCATGAAGGAGGAGGCGCGGGAGAAGGAAGAAAAACAGAAGAAGGAGGAGGAGGCGCGGGAGAAGGAAGAAAAACAGAGGAAGCCATGAAATTTTTGAACTAGCTAGTGCGCGCAAGACACCTTCTTTTAAGCATCCTGAGGGTTATTTACGTCGGCCCTAATTGGGTCCGACGTAAATTTTGACATCTACGTCGGACACAATGCTTAACCGACGTAGATGTTAAAATTTACGTCGGACCCAAATAGGGCCGACGTAAATAATTCAACAAAATTACGCTACATGCCACCGCATTTTTATAACGTCGGGTTTACGTGTTTTCGACGTAAATTAGGTGGCGTAAAAGCCTATTTTTGCACTAGTGTTTCATATAACTTCTAATAAAAAAATACAAATTAATTTATGTATAAATTAATTTTTGTTTATAGAAAAAATTATTTTATTTTATTTATCTTTTTTCTTCTAGAAACATTTTTAGAGAAATTATTAGGAGCGTTTTTAGAGAAATTATCTAAATACACCCTATATTTTTTTCTTAATGCCTTCATATCTCCAAAAATGATCAACAAAACTATTTCATTTTTACCATTTCTTTTATGTGTTAGCCTTCTTTTAGCCAAAATATCCAAATTATAAATTAAACTTGAGATGTTAATGGCTAGTGTCGTGGTTTGTACTTACTTTTTGACACTTTCTTTTTAATTAACTAGATTATATTCTAATAAAAAATTAATGACTAATTCTTCAAAATACTAAAATGTATTTAAAAAACTATTTTTTTCTCAACAAATAGTTTTTCATACATATAAATCAGACATTGATCTCCTAATTATATGTTTAAAAGACAAAATTTTTTGTGAATAATGTTAATATTACTTTTAATGCTCGGTTCTCTAAAACAATGACTCTTTAGTCGTGTATCATTGGGTTCCAAAAAAAAAAAAACACGGAATGCTAGCTTTGGATGTTAAAACAATCCAACATCTAGTGTTGTTTTATGTTAAAATCTATGAATTTTTACAACAATTAAATGATAAATTCTATTAAAGCTTAATTGGTGTATCTCAAAATTTAACAATCTTGCAAATTTTATTCACAAATTTCGTTCTGAATTTACAGAAGTCGGAATTTGAGTGTGTGTGTGTGTGTGTTTTTGTCGCAGTTTGTCTCACAGTTTTTCTTCATGAAGGAAAGATTGTAATATTTTGTAAATTGAGGGGGATGGGGGGGGGGGGGGGGGTTAAAATCCATGGAAAAAAATTATTGGAGAAAAAATTTACGAGATATCAAACTTTGGACACAAGAAAGTGCAATTAAGTTTTATATTCATGTGCAATGACAATATGTTGCACCTAAATCATGACAAAAATCAAAAGCCGGAAGTGTCAATGTGGAGTAGATGTTGCTTTATTCAAGCAACATAATTGCTTTGGAGTGAAAATATGCTTTAGAGATGACCAAGGACGTTTTATCAAAGCTAAAATCACGCTGCACCATGACATTCCAAAACCAATACAAATAAAGCTTGTGTTTTGATGTAAGCAGGACTGATATTACATGAAATACGACTTCAAAATGTAATTGATTAAATAATTAAATTAAAATTGAAATGATCTATTCACCAAGTGTTTTGTGACAAAAATAATATTTAAAAATATAATATATATTCATAATTATTTAATTAAATAAAATATAAATACATTTTTTATGATTATTAATACCGACATAATTAAAGATAAAGAAAAGTCCAATTTATTCATTTACACATATTCATATCATAATAGATATAAAATATTATAAAAAGGGTTGATGTAGTCGGTGAGTAGAAGAGTAAATGTAAAGATCATGGAACCCTTGGGAAATATTTGCATTGACACATTTAGAAGTGTTATAACAGAAGATTTTTGACCTTTGAAGGTTACTGTATTATTTTGTATGCAATAGTTTATTGTAGTTTTGAGAAAACTATGTGTACCAATGTTCTAAATAAAAGGAGATATTTATTTTTGAGTTAATCATCTATACATTGCTAGTGTAAAGTTTTTTATACTAATAACTAATCAAATCTTTTAAATTATTTTTTTATTTTTATTTTATTAAATAAGTAACTGACATGACATTATTAAAATATATGATTGGTTGCTGGTATAAAAAAATTTTGTACTGACAATGTATAGATGATTAACTTTGTTTTTTCTAAGAGTAAGTTTACTTATTAAACTTATTATGTTTAATAACTCATGTTTTACATCAAATTTTAATAATTTGATTATTAAATTTAAAATTTTTAATGCATAAATCAAGTCTATAAATTTTTTTAAAATTTAAAAATCAATTAATACTTTATTTCATTAATACAAATTAACAGATAATTATAAAATCATTAGTTTAGCCGATATACTTTCTTCTTCACACACATTTTCCTTAGCCGATATATAAAAGAAGGGTTATAATAACATCTATGTAACTTTTACTAAGTATTACACTGCTCAATAACTTTATATTAAATGTGAATTTTGTAAATCCAATCGATAGATTAAAAGTTCATATTTCTTTATATGTTTATATCAAATTTTGTTAAAATTGAACAACAACTTGAAGGTAATCAAAATGTTCATATTTTAGTATATTTTGAAATGTATGTATTATGCCAATTTTATTTTATAAGAATAAAATATCAAATCATCTTGTATTAATATAAAATCTTGTATATATGATCTAAGAGTAAAGAACTTTCAATCTAACGGTTGGATTTACAAAATTCACATTTAATATAAGGTTATTGAGCAGTGTAATATTTAGCAAAAGTTACACAGGTGTTATTATAACCATCTTCTCTCTCTCTCTCTATATATATATATGAGGAGGGATCCGTTTATTCAAAGAGTAAGTCTAGGTAAACTTACTTTGTTCAATAACTCATGTTCTACATCAAATTTCAACGATCCAATCATTGAATTTAAAGTTCTTAATGTATAGATCAAATCTAAATTTTTTTAAAAAAATTGAAAACTATTTGATACTTCGTTTCATTAATTCAAATCAATGTATAAAATGATTTTATGATTATCTGTCAATTTAAATTAATGAAATGAAGTATCAAATGATTTTCAAAAATTTTAAAAATTTGCAGACTTGATTTATACATTAAGAACTTTAAATTAAACGGTTGGATCATTGAAATTTGATGTAAAACATGAGTTATTAAATAGAGTAATTCTACTAGAGTAAATGGATCCCTCCAATAGACTTATTTTATTCAATAACTTATGTTCTACATAAAATTTTAATGATCCAACCGTTGAATTTAAAGTTCTTAATACACAAATCAAATCTACAAATTTTAAAAAAAAAATAAAAATTATTTGATATTTCGTTTCATTAATTTAAATCAATCAATAAAATAATTTTCAAAATTTTTAAAAATTTACAAATTTGATTTATGCATTAAATTTTTTTAATTCAACGGTTAGATCATTAAAATTTGACGTAGAACATGAATTATTAAATGGAATAGATTTAAGTAAACTTATGAAATAAATGAATCTCCCCTCGGATGCCATACCTGAAATTCAAGTCCAAATCATTATCCATTTCTTCATTGTCTAAACTAACAACATCGATATTTTTGTTTGCCATCTGAATATTTTTCGAAATAAAAAATTTATTATTCTAATCAAATATGATTAAAAACGAAACTATAAACCTTAAAAATAGATAACCGAACTTTAATATATATAAAAGTGAGAAGATAGAAATATTAATATTTAATATTAATATTGAACTTATATATATAAATTAAATAAATATTTAATTTATATATATATATAAATTAAATGTTAAATATTTAATATATAATACCTTAAATTAAATATTAATATTTAATATATATATATAAATATATATATATATATATGAAAAAGAGTATTAAATAATCATTATTTATTAACAAATTAATGTGGCCAGAACGGCCCGTTTCGAATCCGGAACGGCCGTTCTGGACTCATTTGTCATGCCAAAATTTGATACCCAGAACGGCCCGTTCTCAGATCAGAACGGACCGTTCTGGGGTTACAAATTAATCCACAACGGCTATGTATGAAACGACCCGTTCTAAAAGTGAAACGGCCCGTTCCCAAAGTGGAACGGCCCTTTCTGAGTTCGCATATTGCTCATAAAATTGATTTTTGGAACGACCCGTTCTGGGTTCGACTGGAAGCGAAAATAGGCTAGCATAATCGATTATGCTTGCCACATAAACGATTATGCTTCCTTCCTATGTATAAAGAAATGAGATGAAACTTACCTTTAATGGAGGAGCCCCGTCGAGAATCAGTGAGCAACACGCACCAGTCCCGTCGAGAATCAATGAGCAACAATCACCCTCGCACCAACACACACCACACAGAGAGCTTCCAACTCTCTTATAAACTCATTTCAAACGTGCTGTGCCACTCAAGGATAAAGGTCCGTCAACCATGGCAGAGATTCCTCTGCTGCATGGCACAGTATGGATGCATGGGATAAGGGTATTATCGGATTTTCACAAATCTTACGTGACTTTCATCTCTTTTCTTCGCTTTTGTGCGAGGACGGCAACGACGCTTCTCCCCCTTTTCTTCGCCTTTCTTTTCATACAAATCACCGAAAACAAACATCTACTTTCTTTATCTTTCGTTGCTCGTAAACAGTAAATCACCAGAAACAAACACTACGTTAAGGATCCTGGAGGATTAGATCCAATAACCTCATTAATAGTTTGTAGATTCCGAGATTATATTAAAGTTATCGTAATCGAAAAGAATTTTCCTTTTGATTATGCAATTATAGCACATGTCATATATAACTTTTGAGGTATGCATATATTTATTTATTTATTTATTTTCAATCCGGGTTATTATATTTTTTTTCCTACCTCTCCTTTCTTTTTTAAAACACCTATCTATATATCAAATAAACTATTATATTATCTGTGTAGTACATATATTTATATTATATTATATTATTTTTATAAAAATTGGTTCATAATTTATATATAATATAAAAATAAAATATTAATATTAAAAAATTATCATTCCTGATATAATTAAATATAATTTATATTAGTTTAATTTTAAAAAAATATAAATCTTATTCATAAAGAGTAAAAATTCTTAATTGAAAATTTAGAATAGTACCGTTTCAAATTTATCAAGATAAAATAATTAATTGTAAAATATAAAGTAATATTTTGATGTAGGATAAATAATTAACAAACTTACCATTTATAATGTTTTCTATTTTTAAAATTTAACATACTAAACCCCAAACGTATAATTCAGTAGTAGGGATTGACTCACGTTTAAGCAAGCTCAGGAGTTTGAATCCTGTCTTTTATATACAGTTCCATTAAATTTTAGGACTAGTTATCTGATCTTTTGAAGTGAGAGATTAATCAGAATAGTAAATTTGTTAAAAACTTATTTAGCGGATAATTTTCTTCCTTCATGAGTATATTTTTTTTTGTTGGTAAATTTAAATAGCAAAAATTAGAATAATGAATAATTTGATAATTTAGTGAATCTTTTATGGTGCTTTCTAGTTTCTTGTGAGTAGCGATAATCTCTCTCATGGTGTGGACTTGCACTGATGCAATCAATTCCAGTGAGCAGTGACCCATCAAGAGTTAACCCATCGCTCTCAGTCCCTCACCATACCACCATTCCCAATTCCTTGGTTGCTAATTTGCTACACAACACACACCTAACTTCTCTTATTGTACTGTGTAAAGTGAAAATGGCACTTCAATGACGCTCTCTCTCGGGCACACAACCTCCAAGATTCCACCTTTAACATTGTTCCTGCGTCACCACACAAATTCTCCACTGCCACGTCAGCATGGCCCCTGCCGCGTCTTCTCCACCGCCGAGCTTCGCTCTCTCCGTCACAGACGACCGCAAAGACGAGGAGAGCAAGTGCGCTTACCTTGTGGTAGCTCTCTGCCCTTGTCTCGTTTGCTTCATTCTCCTCTTAATTGCGCTTTCCATCATTCTAGTTGTCAAGTTCCACTTTTTTTGCCACACCCCTCTCCATTCCTTGCTCTACAAAAAAAACTGCTGATTTCCCATCTTGCCGCTTTTTCACTCCTTTCCCCTTTTCATGGAAAGTTTCCGTTTTTGAATAGTCCTAGGGCGTTTGCTAGTGATTCTGATTCTGGGGTTGAGAATGACGATGATAGTGATGGGGGTTATGCTGGTGGAGGTGTTAGTGGTGAGTCGTGTGCAGATCCTGACGAGGTTGATAGGGTATGCAAGGTGATTGATGAATTGTTTGCGTTAGATAGGAACATGGAGGCGGTTCTTGATGAATGTGGGGTTCAGTTGTCACATGAGTTGGTTGTGGATGTCCTGCAACGGTTCAAGCATGCTAGGAAGCCGGCGTTTCGGTTCTTTTGTTGGGCTGGGAAGAGGCCTGGGTTTGCTCATGATTCTAGAACTTATAACTGCATGATTTGTATTCTTGGGAGGACTAGACAGTTTGAGACCATGGTAGCATTGCTTGAGGAAATGGGTGAGAAGGGCCTTTTGACAATTGAGACTTTCTCCATAGCTATTAAAGCCTTTGCTGAAGCAAAACAAAGGAAGAAGGCGGTTGGGATCTTTGATCTGATGAAGAAGTATAGGTTTAAGGTGGATGTTGATGTGGTTAATTTCTTGCTTGATAGTCTTGGCACGGTGAAGCTTGGTAAAGAAGCACAAGTTGTTTTTGAGAAACTGGACGGTAGGTTTACACCCAATTTACAAACTTACACCATACTTCTTAGTGGTTGGTGCAGGATGAAAAACTTGCTGGAAGCAGGGAGGGTGTGGAATGAGATGACTGATGGGGGATTTAAGCCGGATATTGTTGCACATAATGTTATGCTTGAAGGGTTGTTAAAGTGTAAGAAGAAATCTGATGCTATCAAGTTGTTTGAGATCATGAAGGCCAAAGGTCCTTCACCCAATGTTCGGAGTTATACAATTATGATACAGGACTTCTGCAAACAAAAGATGATGGGAGAAGCTGTAGAGTATTTTGATGAAATGGTGGATCGAGGATGTCAACCTGATGCTGCACTTTACACGTGTTTGATCACAGGGTTTGGGAGGCAGAGGAAAATGGATATGGTGTACAATCTACTGAAGCAAATGAGGGAGAGAGGTTGTTCACCTGATGGGAGGACCTACAATGCTTTGATAAAACTGATGGCCAGCCAGCATATGCCTGATGATGCAGTGAGAATATACAACAAAATGATTCAAAGTGGCATCAAACCAACGATTCACACTTACAACATGATAATGAAATCCTATTTTGTGGCAAAAAATTATGAAATGGGTCATGCGATTTGGGATGAGATGCATCAGAAGGGATGTTGTCCTGATGATAATTCCTACACTGTATTGATTGGTGGGCTTATAAGACAGGACAGATCCGGTGAGGCATGTAAATATTTAGAGGAAATGTTAGAGAAGGGGATGAGAGCTCCTCAGCTTGATTATAACAAGTTTGCTTCTGATATTTCTAAAACTGGGAATACTGTCATCCTTGAGGAGTTAGCCCGAAAGATGAATTTTGTTGGTAAGTTTGAAGTGTCTAATGTCTTAGCCAGTTGGGTTGACATGATGAAGAAAAGTGGCAAGACAAGAGAGCCTACGAAATCTGCCAGGCAGTTTACCTGATTGCCTTGCAAGTGACCAAGGATGTTATAACTGCACAGTTCCTCTGAGCTATTAATTGTCTTTGGATTCTAGTTTTTGTGTTAAATTCCTTTTTGTTACTGTCAACCCTCTCTCAAAATAAAAAACTAAGCTCTTTATTTTGTATATTATTGTTGGTTGAAACTTATAGACCAGTGTTGTATAAAGGCATGTACCAGTTTGAATGAAACATCCGGCTGATCCACATTTAAATCTTTCTCTATTTTCTGTTTGACATTGCAGCAATCCACAAAATTGGTATTTCTGAATATATAATAGCAAGCAGGTAACTGCCACCTGACACACTGCTTTAGATCCGGGGTATTTTTATTTTTTATTTTTTAGTTTTATTCTACGAAGCTATAAGTTGATTGATTCCCCTGATAAATTTTTGTTTTATTCTTATGCTTTTATGTTTAATCTGTTATGTAGCAAGAGATTTGCCTTCACAAATAAATTGTGATCAGGTATACTGCAAAGTTCCTAATGGCCATGGGCATACATATACCAAAATGCTTGATAAGGAACTTTTTTACTTTCTTGGTTAAATGTAATTTATATTAAATTAATAAATAGGATACTAACTTCCATACTCCATCCATACTATGGATAATAATTTTATAAGTACTAATGATAGAGGATAACTGTTATATTGAATTTTCATATTTTAAAGGTATGTTAATTCAAATTAACAATTAGAAACATGGATGTGTCTGGACATTTAAGTAGATCTACAGCTGAATGAGCATGATAAAATAATATATATATATATATATATATATATATATGAGGAGAGATAAATTTACTTTTAGAAATAAGTCTATCTAGACGTGTTTCGTTCAATAATTCATGTTTTACATTAAATTTCAATAATTTAATTGTTGAATTTAAAGTTTTTAATATATAGATTAAGTTTATAAAGTTTTTAAAAAATTTGTAGATCATTTGATATTTTATTTTATTAATTCAAATTAATGTATAAAATAATTTTATGATTATCTGTTAATTTGAATTAATAAAATGAAATATCAAATGATTTTCAAAATTTTAAAAAATTTACAGATTTGATTTATACATTAAGAACTTTAAGTTCAATGGTTAGATTATTAAAATTTGATGTAGAACATGAGTTATCAAATGAAGTAAGTTTAGATAGAATTACTCACGAAGTAAACAATTCCCTTCTCTCTTTATATATATTATTTACACCTAAGTGAGTCTTTGATAAGTTACTTCTATTTCTGGTTTCTATATATATATATATATATATATATATATATGGGATTGCTAACATACTTTAGCTTATTTTTTAGTTAGAGTATGTGACAAAATCACTCATTTTTTTTTATTTGATTAATTTATGTAAAACATGAATTATTGAACGAAGTAAGTTTATCAAAACTTATTTTGGAATAAGTGAATCTTTTGATATACTTATTTTATTTAATAACTCATATTTTACATAAAATTTTAATAATTCAATTATTAAATTAAAAGTCTTTTATATATAAATCAAGTTTACAAATTTTTTAAAAATTTAAAAATTATATAATATTTTCTCATAACAGTTGTAAATACATTACGAGGGGTAGTAGTACCACTACTCTTTGACATTCACTAATTAATACTTTATTTATTATTAATTAAAATTTATTAAAAATTACAAATTTTGTTGATATTATATCTTATTTATTTAATGACTCTCTTTCCTGACTTAATAGTAAAATATATTAAAATTTTATAATTTTTAACCAATAATTAAAATAATTTTAGGAACAATGCTAGAGTGAATGTGGGTATCATTTCACTTATATTATAGAGGTGAAATCTTAGATGAGACATTAAAAGGATCCCTCACGTATGTAAAGTTATTTCAAACCATATATATTATTAAAATAAATTGACAATTATAATACATGAATCATCAATCTATTTCAATTATCAATTTATTTTAATAACATATACAATATTTAAAAATAATTTCACATGATTGAGATTTGACGAACTTTGTATCCCTTATTATAATAATATAATTCCCTGATCATGATTGAATGGTTAATTAAGTTGTGAGACTTGAGAAGTGACAGTAAATCTGTCAGAAACTATGCAACGGAAATATATCCCCTGATTTTGGAGGGGAAAGTTTGGGTAACTTTACACATTTAAACTATTGGATTTGTAATAGTAGATCAGATTGTGACACATGTATATTTAAGTTAAAATATATTTTGTACACGTGTCACAATCTGATTTATTATTACAAATCCAACGATTGAGATGTGTTAAGTTACCATAACTTTGATATCTCAAAGTCAGAGGATCCGGATCCGACCAGATGCACCTTTACTGATGTCCATTCCGTTAAGGTCCAAAAAAAACTGGATCTTCTAGTGCCAATTTCTGGCCCAACTAGCTTGGAGGGACATGAGAGCCGTTTGGAACTTGGAATGGAAGCGTTGATTTTCATGTTCTGTGCTTAATGCAACCAAAAGAAAAGTACACTCACAACTGCTGATTTGTCAAATTTTACGTTTAACCCCTCATCTCATGCGAAAGTATTTGAAAGGATATCCTGAACAGTAGGTATTGTAATTCGGGTCAAATTGCATGGAATTCACATTTGTCCATATGTTATTCCATTGGTAATCATATTCATATAATAAATAAATTGAGAGGTTAAGGGGGTAAAAAGGATATAGAGGATGATAATGATAATTGAGGATTTTATTTTCAAATATTGGTAATTTCTTCTATGTTCGATATGAGACGAATTAAAAGTCAACCGCTTGTGCAATGCCTTTGAGTGGCTGCAAAACCATCAATCAAATGATTGCACAACAATTGTCCTTGTGCTTGGTTACTTTTAAATTACTGATCAAGAAACATTATTTAGATGGAAAATGATACATCCTCAGAAAGGAAAAATAAGTATGTTTTGATTTTAATCTTTGTAATTATTTTTTTTATTTTTTGTAACGACCCGGCTGGTCACTACACTCACAACCATAGCACACCGGAAACACTAGTTCCCTCATTTCATGGCAAAGACAATGTTGAAACATATTTAGATTGGGAAATGAAAGTTGAACAACTTTTTTCTTGCCATGGAATAAGTGAAGAGAAAAAGGTTTCTTTGGCAACCTTTAGCTTTCAAGGACATGGTATGTATTGGTGGACCTCCTTGGAAAAAGAAAGAAGATTGCGTCATGAGCCCCAATACAACATTGGAATGAACTCCGTAGTGCCTTAAGAAGGAAGCATATTCCCCATACTATGACCGTGAGCTTATAGATAAGCTTCAAAGGTTGAAACAAGGGTCATCTAGTATGGAGGAATATAGGCAAAAAATGGAGTTACTCATGATGAGGGCTGAAATAAGGGAAGAAGAGAGAACCACCATTTCTAGATTTCAAAGTGGTCTCAATCTTGAAATAAGAGACAAAGTTGAACTTTTGCCTTGTAGAGATTTAAATGAACTTGTTCAACTTTGTTCAAGAGTGGAGCATCAACTCAAAAGGAAAAGTTTTAGAAAAGACTCCACTCCCTCTTATTACAAGAATTTCAAGAAGGAGGGATCCTCTTCCAAACCTTATTTCAAAGAAAAAGAAATAGAACATGAAAAAGAAAAATCCTCTCTTAAAGCTCCTTCTAAAGAATCTAAGTCAAGTGACATCAAGTGCTTTGAGTGTCTTGGAAGGGGACATGTTGCTTCTCAATGTCCCACAAAGAAAACTATGGTTTTAAGAAACCAAGACCACTATAGTAGCCTTGATGAAGATACTTCTTCTTCATCTACTTCAAGTAGTGAGGATGAAGCCATAGATTTGGAAGAAGAAATCTTACCTTGTAGTGGAGACTTACTCATGGTTAGAAGGCTTCTTAAGAACCAAACTAGTGATATTGACCAATCTCAAAGGTAGAACTTATTTCACACAAGATGCAAGGTTTTAGAAAATACTTGTTCTCTCATTGTAGATAGTGGGTCTAGTTGCAATTATTATAGCACTAGATTGGTTGAGAAGTTAGCCTTAACGACAATACCCCATCCTAGACCTTATAAGTTGTAATGGATTAATGAGGAAAAAGGAATTATAGTCAACTAACAAGCAAATATACCAATCTCCATTGGAAAATATAAGGATGAAGTTTTGTGTGATATAGTGCCATTAAAGGTTAGTCATGTTTTTCTTGGGAAGCCTTGGCAATTTGATAAGAAAACCATCCATGATGGCCTCACCAATAAGATGAGTTTCCAACACTTGGGAAGAAAATTCATTTTGTGTCCTATATCACCTTATCAAGTGAGTGAGGATCAAATCAAAATGAAAGCTAAGAGGGAAAAGAGGAAAAAGAAAGAAAACAAAAGCAAAAATAAAAAAAAATAAAAAAAAGGTCCTTCTTCAAGGACTAGAGAAATAGAAAAAGAGGTACCAAGTTTAGAGGCAAGTGTCTCCTCTAAAAAAGTTGTTCACAAGAGTCACTTATCTCTCAAAAATGATATTAAGAAAACACTCTTGCTTGAACAACCTTTATACCTTCTTTGTTTCAGAGAGACACTCACTGCCACTAGTCATGAACTTGAGTCTCTACCTCAAGAGGTCCAAATACTTTTGAAAGAATTTTATGATCTATTCCCCCAAAAGGTTCCAAGTGGACTTCCCACTTTAAGAGGAATAGAGCATCAAATAGACCTCATTCCTGGGGCAAATCTACCAAATAGGCCCGCCTATAGGACTAATCCCCAAGAAACCAAAGAGATAGTGATGGGGTCTCTCCTTTCATGGTTGATGATGGTGTGTTGAAGGGAGACACCTTGCCCATGATCTAGGCTCACCAAAGGTTAGACAAAAGGGAGGTTTATGGTGAAAAAGGAAGCTAGGCGTGAGATAGTGTTGAATGGCGGAAGTGTATGGTGAAAGGTGTATGTATTAAAAGATAATAATATTTTAATAATTCGGCCTATGATTCATAATATTATTCTGCCTGTATAGCAGTGCTCACTTGTAATGATGCATATCCTATTCATGATTTACCAAGTTTACACGTTTATTAGATTTCTACTTCTTTAAATCTAAGTTCTCTAATCTCTATGACAACAGTCACTGAATAAAGTGAATGTATACAGTTATATAAAAGAAAGGTTAAAAATGCTAATTTTTATCAATCTATAACCATCAAATTTTCTTTTACCCTATATATGAGAAACGATATTACTTATGTTCTCATTTTCATACATTCCACTGAAAGGGGCAAAAGTGATTTAAAAGAGCCGAATGAGTTGGTCATTTAATTATGTATAAGCTCTTTCTGGTTGGGAGTTTGATATTTAATTAATTCGGTGTAAGTTTGGTGGCCTTAAATGTGAAGTAAAAATATTCAAACATGGCATGGACCTACCGCAACAGAAATTGTCTATGACCTACAATGATCTTGAAAGCCGAGTGGCATTCCCTTCCTTTTAGTCCGAAATTACAATGTGAAATTCCAGAAAATTCAGCAGCAAAAACTGAAAAGGGTCAAAAAGCTGCCAAGCAAAAAAGTTAAATAAAATTTCAAAGATACAAGTAAAATATGTAATACAGGAAAAAACTTGAATAACAAATTCATCATCTAACAGTGGAAGCAACAGTGTGAGCCCACCATCTGAGATTATCTTTTATGTCAATTTCGTTGTTGAGAGGAGGAATCTTCCAATTCATCAAGGGGTTGTTCTCTTTCTTTCTCCTTTCTTGGACCTTCCATGCTTCAGAGAGGTACGGTCTTTGAACTGAAGACTCATCAGAATCCTCTTCTTCCTCATCACTCTTCCCTAACCTTTGCAAGCCAGGAATGATTGAAGCCAAGCTTGAGTCCTTATCTTCCTCGGAGAAAACAAAACCCAGATCCATGAACCCTTTTAGCTCCTCAAATTCAAGGTCTGATAAACTCTTGCTTTGCCTTTTCTTTTTCCTTTCCCTCCTTGTGATGTTCTTCTTAGGCAACACTTCATGCTGCACCTGTGCTTCCGTGTCTATGACATCTTTTCCTGAGAGTATGGTGTGAAGCTTTGGTGAGAAAACTGAGTCTGGAGATAGAGAATCATCCTTGAAGCATGTCATGGAGCTCAAGTGGTCGCTCATGGACCTGCTATGACTGCTTTGGATGCGCAATAGCATTGGTTCTGATGGTTCTTTTATTTGATGATCTGAATTTTCATGAGAACTTGTCGGTGCTGAGAAGCTTGTGTATTCCTTCAAATATTGAATGCCAAACCAGCATGAATCGAAGAGCTTCAAGACTTCTTCTGCATCCATCATGGCTTTGGAAAATCAGCTGAACCTTTTGAATTGTATTAGCAGACGTAACTTGTCAAGACATGGTAGATCATAAGATATATTTTATTATATACCCTTCGTGACCATATTGCCCCTCATGAACCCCGAAATTACGAGAAGAATTCAACCAATCATTTACACGTTTTGGATTTGAGACATTTCCTTATTAATGCAACATTTTGTTGTTTATTATTTGTATTTTGTAAGCGGAAAACGTTGGTTTTAGACAAAATTGAGAGTGTTTTGAATGTGTGGTCTTAAAATAGTGGATTTAAGCCTAATTCAATCCTATAAAGCTGACTTGTAAGGTGAGGGTTATTTTTCACTTATATACTATTTAATTGCTTAATCTCTAGTTGATGTGGGACTTGAGTTTTTCCCAATACACCCCCCTCACTTCCAGTACTATTGAGCTTGGTACGTGGATAAATGCTAGGTGACCATTTTTGTGGCCCATTTTTAATGGTGGGACTTGAATACATCTCTCATACCCATGGTGCATGTATCAATGAATGGTGGGTGACCCATTTTTAGGAATCTAGGATAGATCTAATATCATTTTAGAATAGTGGATTTAAGCATAACTCAACCCTATAAAACCGTCTTGTAAAGTAAGGGTTACTTTCCACTTATATACTATTTAATTACCTAATCTCTAGTTGACGTGAGACTTGAATTTTTCCCAAAAGGTGGCTTTAACAAGAAGCAAAAGCAAAGGTTGTTTATGGCAAAATACTGAATTATGAATGCTACTAGATAAAGCCAGATATGAGGTTGGCCAATGGTTGATATCAACCACTGTTCCCAATCTTTTTCTGTTCTCTCAGATGTTGACATTTTTTGGTCACATCTCTTTCTTGTTGGTTCGGTGATTGCATCATAGCTTTCATGTGTAAACTAATTGCGCTAGCAGTGACAATAGCAATAATTGATCATAGTTGCTTCCAAACTACACAAAATTGAAAGCCTATCACTGTGTGGTCGGCATTGGATGCAATTTTCATGCTAAGTTTCTACCACTGCTACAGATTTTAGACCTCATAGGTTGAAAACTTTTTAACGAAAGGTATCATATATACCTGGTACAGGTTTTCGCATTTTATTTACTCCATAAACATATGTAAACTGTTTCTGATATTTCATATGCGTCTCATATATGTTCCTTTTATTTTTCTGTGCAATTAAAATTTGGTAAATTTCATATTTCTTAAACTAAAGAATCAGATTTGAGATTCACTTCATGTCATGGTAGCTATGAATTGATGTTAAATTAAACTTCACGTGATTAACGAAAGCACAGCGTTATAATAATCTAACATGCTGCTACCAAATTATATTATCACTTTTAGTTACATCATGGGTACTGCTACCTAATTATATTATCGCTTTTAGTTACATCATGTGTGAACCAAACTTTAAAAACAGTAATACTCTTTCATCCTTTCCTGTTCTATTATCATATGAATGCGGAATTGCGGATAATGTTCCTTATATATATTTCTCGAGTTTACGATTTGTCACAACTACACAAGTATTTCATAAGAAGAAAGAGTTTAAATTATTTTTTATCTCATCAAAAGACAAAGATAAATTTTTGAAAGACTAGCACGCATATTTACCAGATATTGAAATTGTGGGCAAATAATGATTTTTGTGAATACAATATATCATACAGTCTGTTGTTTGTGCGGCTTCAGGCACATTCCACAATCTCGTGGTTGGGTGAAGTCAAAGCGGAAAGGCGTTTTGGGAATATTCTGATACTAAAGGAACAAAGTTGGATTCAATCATTCAACGAGCAAGGAGTTACTGATAAGTGATAACCCTAATTCCGCATGTGCATCTCGTGCTGCACTCACGAGAGGGCCACGCGTTACCGTTGATCTTCTCTTCCCTGCCATTGCAACAGTGCGGATTTTCTTAAACAAAGTGCATGCGTCTGTTTCATTCTCTCCATTTCTTTATGATTTTATTTTAGTTACATTATTTTCTCAAAATAAAAAACGAAAAAAAAAAAAAAAAGTTTCGTTAGGTGGGTGGGGGGAGAATTCCTCTGATCCTCTCCCTTTCACATTTCCACTCGTCATCTCAGAAGTCTACGCTTCACTATTTTTATTTTATTTTTTTTTAATACAAAGAGCATTGTCAAACAAAAATGTTTTTCAAAAAAAGGTTTAGTTTCAGAAAGAATTTTTTTTCTTCAAAAGAAGAAGAAAGAATTATTTAAACTATTCGTTATATAGTTATCTCAATTTGATTGTGTAAATTTAAAATAAAAATTAGTTAGCTCTATTGGAATAAAATAAAAAATAATTACCTCATATAATATCTGTCCAGATTCTAAGGGTTATGAAATAGAAAATTTGAACATATAAAATTAAATAATAATAAAAACACCAAAAATAAAGTAATATAATTACTTAAATAAAAAATTAAAGTCATTTTAATTAGATTTTATCATGTATAGTTCTGAACTATTAAGCAAAATAAACCTATCACCTAACAACCATAATATTATTATGAGGAGATTTTGATGGAGTACCAATTGAAAAAAAGATAACAAAAAAAAAATAGTTAAGATGATTTAAATATAAAGAAGGTCACTAGGGAAGCAGATTGTATTATACTTTTAGCCATGTAATACAAGAAGAGTGCTAGGGAGACCAAGAAAGACATTAGATATAGATAATTTTAACATTATTTCAAATCACTGTTATGGTTGATATCAGTAATAAGCGTGGATAGCTAATGTTCGCAGGGTAATCAACTGCATTCTTTTTGCAGACTTAATTGTTTTGATTGTAAAGTCGTTGTTGGATGAAACACATAAAAATATTAAACCCAGAAAGAGGGAAGGACAACAAATTCAAAGAGAGATGTGATCAATAAATATTGATGTTGATATATACGTCTCTAGTAAAGGGGTTCGTTCACACGTGGAATGATCGAGTAATAATATATGGAGTTGTATTTGGCCAAAAAGAGACATTTTAGGGCAGTAAAATTTGTGAATATGTTGTAGAAGATAGAAGAAGAGCGAAGATGCCTACAATAACTTTTATTGATGAAGATTTTCAATGGGTAGATTCCATTTAGGATGACCTTATGATAATCAGTGTTGAAATCAATAAATGTATCATAAAAAAACTTTGATAGATTAAGGAAGTTTGATCGATATACTATATTGGAAGACATTCAAGCAAATGAGAATACTAGAAGAAGAATGGAAATATTATAATGAATCCATAATAGACCTCTTGGATGAACGTGTAACAACAAAGGGATGTATTGACCTTTAAATACGTTTTGGTTTCGATCAACAAGTTAAGAAAATTATAAAGATCAGGTACATTGTTGTAAATGCTAATACTTCCTATAATATTTTACTTGGAAGACCATCCATAGATGTTATTGGTGCTATTATTTCTACCCATCATCTCACCATGAAATTTCCTGTTGAATTTCAAAAGATAATTACGAGCATGCTGATCAAAAAACAACCAGGAAATGTTATATTGCAAACCTAAAAATAACACCTATTATAAAAGAAGAAGACAAGAATGTACACATGGTATTGACCATAACATAGGATACATCAACCTTAATAGAGTTAGACCCTGAGATGGGTAATGATGATTTTAGAATGGAGCCAAATGAATAAACATTATTATTTCTATTGGGAGATGAGTCTAGACAAAGCACTTACAATGGATCTCAACTTGACCTATGTTAACGTTAGCGAGAAATAATTCAAAGAACTTTGAAAGCAAACATAGAGTTGTTTGAATGGACGACTATCGACATGCTAGGAACTGATCTAATTGTCATCGATTAGTGTTATATAGGGAAGCAAAGCTAATAGCACAACATAAAAAGAAAAATGGGAGAGGATAGAAGGAAAGTAGTGAAGATAGAAAATAAAAAATTCTTGAATGCTTGGTTCATAAGAGAAGTTCAATAAACTACTTGGTTAGCCAATGTAGTTATGGTTAAAAAGATGAATGAAAAATGGAGAATGTGCATATATTATAATGATCTGAACAAAGCATGCCTTAAAGATGCATATCCTCTTTCAAATATAGATTGACTTGTAGATGATGTAGTTGGACATCAAATTTTCAATTTTTTGGTTACATATTTGGGATATAATCAAATATGGATGTACTTGGAAGATGAAACAAAAACAACCTTTATAACCAAGTCAGCAAATTACTATTATAAGGTGATGCCTTTCAGATTGAAAAATGCAGGAGTACCTTCCATGGATATCGTTTCACATTTTGGCATTTGTAGTCATAACAAAAATTTAAGTGGTATATTGAATTGAGATTTTATAAGACTTTTTTTTTAGCACAAAAAGGTCTTGCAGAGTTTAAAAGAATTTGTAGGAATTTAATGACTTTTGATATTTTTTTAAAAGACTTTTTCAATCAAAATCTTGTTATATGGATTTTATAATAGATTTGTATCTTAAGAATTTATAAATTTTGAAAGGATTTTATTATATTTTAAAGGACAGTATGAATTTTTTTTAAAATAAAATTATTAATAAAAAATAATATAAACGACAAAGTTTGATTAAATAAAATAAAATAATAAAATTTTTAATCTTTTAATAAATAATTGATTATGGTTTGATGTCCTCTTAAATAACATTTTTTTATATACAACCTTATATGTAATTATATTTTCTCATTTATATTATTGAATTTAAACAGTATGTTTAAATTTATTATATTTATTAATCAGTAAAATTGTCAAAATATATTTTTAATATATATTAAAAGTTTTGATATTTTAATATTAAAATTTATTAAAAATAAATATTTATTAAATTTTAATTATTTAAAATACTTAATCATTAAAAATAAATTTAAATATTTAATAATTAGAAAATAAATATTGATAAATTATACATAAATACTGATAAATTAAAAATGCAACAAAAAGATATTAATAGATAAAAAAATATAGGAGAAAAAAGAAAAAAAAAAATGAAAAAATAAGATAAAGAAGACATAGAAAGAGAAAAGGGGGAGGAAGAGAGAGATAAAA